CATATATTTGCCGAAGCTTGGTTTAAATGAGGTAAAAGTACACCTCAAAATGTTGTGAACATTCACATACTGACACAATTAACTATGTAACTAACATAATGTTTCCAATTCCAGGTATATGACGGCGAGCTAATGGCATCTCCAATAGAAGCAAAGATGTACCATCATACCAATTTGATGGTGAATCCCAAACATGAGGATTCGTCGAGTGCAACATCCAAACCAGATGAAAGCAAACAAGATGAAAGCAAAGACAATGACGGCAATGACAACTGTGATGGAATTTCTGAGGATGTAGTTGACCTAAATGATGTTAATGATGACATGAACACCAGCTTTAACAACCCCAATGCTAAGAGAGGGATCATCGTAGCACAACCAAGTGAATCGGATATCGTAGATGTGTTTATAGAAGAAAATCGAAAAGCTTGGGGTCTGGTACGACAATGGGAAGCAAAATACAAACACTTAGAAGAATCATGAGAGTTGAGGGCAAGGGTGATCGCTGTACTTGAAATCAAATTATTCGACCAATCGAGCCCATCCAATGTGGACATGGAGATCAAGAATTGCATGGAGCGGAAAGATGCAGAAATTGAGCGGTGGAAAAAATTGGTCATCAACCTAGAATGTGAAAAAACGATTCTTCAAGACCTTTACGATGATCATTCCATCCATATTATCATGTAAGCCGAAGCATAAAGGTTCATGACATACTTAAGAAGTATCACATTGCACCACCAGCCCATTGCACCACTGAAAGACATTCTCAGTCCACCATTTGTACAGACGGAATGCTTTCTGTACTGTTTATGTATGAATGCATGAAAAATCTTTTTGGCATACAGACTGTCACAGCTCATTGGACATTGTTTAATTACTGTATTGGCTTCCGCCAGGCCCTGTACTCTGTTTTACTGTATTACTGTTCTGCAGGCCTTCGGTAATCTCAGATTACTGGCCGGTTACGGTGCTAAACCCATAGGGCCGGGTTTGGGTCGTGACACACCAGTTTGCCATCATTACATTCAAATGTAGCAAACAAATGTACAAATGTTGCACACACATCAGTTTTACATCATTACAAACTGATGTGAATGTTCACAACAGTATGCAATGGTGTGAACGTTCACAATAAAATGTTCTACTGTAAACATTGACACTAGTGTTTTGCTCATGTTGGCACCAAGACAAATGTAGCACACATATTGGTAGGCAACGATGTCAAGGTTGACATCAATGATGTAAACATGCACATCAATGTGTATTGACACAACCATTCATTTCAATGGACACTAGTGTGAACATCCACATCAGTGTGCAATAATAGGAACATTCATAACAGTGTGTACTGATGTAAAAATTCACATAAGTAGACATTAGTGTGAACATTTACATCAGTGTGCTGCTGACGCAAACATTGACAATAGTGTTTACTGATATGAACATGCAAGTGTTAATTTTTTTGAAATCAACATTGATGTTTGTTATTTGTTTCAGTACTGGTTGTGTGAGCACACAACCATCTTATAACCCCGCAAACCCAATGTCATTCCTCGGTGTGTGAAGTGGAACCTCACAGCTTTACATACCAACATGAAGTCCATATATTTGCCGAAGCTTGGTTTAAATGAGGTAAAAGTACACCTCAAAATGTTGTGAACATTCACATACTGACACAATTAACTATGTAACTAACATAATGTTTCCAATTCCAGGTATATGACGGCGAGCTAATGGCATCTCCAATAGAAGCAAAGATGTACCATCATACCAATTTGATGGTGAATCCCAAACATGAGGATTCGTCGAGTGCAACATCCAAACCAGATGAAAGCAAACAAGATGAAAGCAAAGACAATGACGGCAATGACAACTGTGATGGAATTTCTGAGGATGTAGTTGACCTAAATGATGTTAATGATGACATGAACACCAGCTTTAACAACCCCAATGCTAAGAGAGGGATCATCGTAGCACAACCAAGTGAATCGGATATCGTAGATGTGTTTATAGAAGAAAATCAAAAAGCTTGGGGTCTGGTACGACAATGGGAAGCAAAATACAAACACTTAGAAGAATCATGAGAGTTGAGGGCAAGGGTGATCGCTGTACTTGAAATCAAATTATTCGACCAATCGAGCCCATCCAATGTGGACATGGAGATCAAGAATTGCATGGAGCGGAAAGATGCAGAAATTGAGCGGTGGAAAAAATTGGTCATCAACCTAGAATGTGAAAAAACGATTCTTCAAGACCTTTACGATGATCATTCCATCCATATTATCATGCAAGCCGAAGCATAAAGGTTCATGACATACTTAAGAAGTATCACATTGCACCACCAGCCCATTGCACCACTGAAAGACATTCTCAGTCCACCATCTAGGGAGAAACATATCAAGCAGAAGGTACAGAGAGAGCACCACTTAACTAACTTTCAATACCCCGACCTGTCTGGCCAAAAGAAAGAAAAAGAGAAAGCTAAAGACCAATCCCAAACAGTCCACATTGTACAAGATGTGGCCAAACAACCACAAACAAAGCACCCAACAAAATCTAAGAAGTTAACATTGACCAACAAAATGAAGGTTTGGACCAACATGAGCAAACTTAACAGGCAAAAGGTCCAAAATTTGCACAAGAATGACAGTAATGAGTAAGTGATTATACACATTGAGATTGTATTTATTTTAATGATGATGTAAAGCTTCACATCTGTATGTAATGGATTAGATCATTTTATAATTATGCAATGTTAACATTCACATTTTTTGGTATCACAATGCACAGGTTGCTTGTATGGAGAGGGGACTCAAAATCTAAAAACATATATTTTGATGACATCATACACATTATCAAGGAAGAATCAATACACAACAGCGTATGACACTCGCAAATTTATACAAAACATATATACACACAGACACACTGTATAGACACTAGAAATAATGTACTGCTACCCCTCTGTTTGTGCAGGTGATAGATGTATATAACGAAATACTACTCGAACTATAAAAGCTGGTCAACCAAACTTTGGAGGATTCAACATTCATCTTTATAAGCACATGTTTGGTAATAACTAGACTATTGGTTTGTTTATGTACAATGTTTATGTGAATGTTCACATGAACAGTATTTGAATTGCATGTTGAATATATGTGAATGCTCACCTCAACATTGTGTGATTATATTATTGACTTACATCAATATTATATAACTAATTGAGAAGTTAACAAATGTGAACATTTACAACCATAATACATTATATGACTGATTGACAAATTAAAGATATGAACATTCACATCTTTAATAGTGAACATTGATATAAATACTTGGTACATAATTATATGTCCATTGTGTGCAAAAAGTCATGCCAGAGTACCTCCTCCACAAGAGAAGTAAACTGATTGATGTACATATCATAACTATCAAGGTCAGAGATATTTCATCTTCCCAATACACCATGACTTCCACTGGATGATCGTTGTCTACGACGCCAAAGACAATCTATGAAGGCATTATAACTCATTATGACCAAGACCCGGTATACATGACCCGTTTATTGACCAAGCACAAATAGTCGTATGTGGCTGACACATATCATAATTGTCATGATGTGTAATATTGGAACTTGAACATATGCACTATGTTGCTTTGTGCCTAATATGAAATTTCATTCTTCCCCCCATGACAGAGAGACTACATCAAGGCAATGGTGCGCACTATCAGACCATCATCACCACTATGGACCAAGTTACCAGGCCAAGATCCAGCACAACCAATCATATTAGTAGACGTCTGTCCTCAGCAAGCATCTGAATCGTAAGTCTCACATCAATTTGTACACATCTTCTATAACCATTATACGCACCTAAATTTCAAATTCTAACAATAATAACTTTGCATTTTCAGGGTGGATTGTGGGCCCGCAGTGTGTTACATCATTAGGGCACAGTATATTGTGAGGAAATTGTTGGCAGCCTTAATCACTTTTAATGGTGTCACATAAGAGACTCATTAATACACATTTTCCTGAATCACACAAAGACAGTGCAATATGAAAACCTATAGATGGGGGGTGTCCACCTATAACTGTTATCTACATTTAAGACAGTTTAGTATCAATAGTTTTGACATATTGGAGCAGACTAGCTTAAGTGTAAATCAATTCTCTATCATTGCTTGTACTCCAATTTTTCATTCAATATATGTATATGCATTTTGAGGTTTATTTCGTGTTGATCATTCGCATTAAGATTGTATTTATTTTTTGCCACACACGACATGATGTGAATTTCCACGACATGAAACGATCAAACACATTCTTATATGTTAAAAGCCTCACTCCATGGATGTGAATATTGCTTAAAGTATTATTGTAACACAATATGACAGGTGTGAATATCATATTTCTTAACACATAAGTGAATATTCGCAGCAAATAATTTGATGATGTGAATGGTTACAAATGATGTGAATATTCACATCATATGTTTTGATGTTGTAAATAGTAACAAGCATGTCAATATTCACACCGCGCCCATGCATGCATCATAATATACACAACAACATTCGATTTTGCTAGCAAAAAACACTCACAATGACAATTCGTAATACAAATCTGAATATTCACATCAAATGATTTGGTAATGTGAATGGTTACAGTGATATAAATATTCATGTTAACTACTTTGATGCTGTTAGTGGTAACAAAAATGTGAATATTCACACCACATACATATATGCATCACAATATACACAACAAAATCTTATTTTGCTAAACAAAACCACGCATAATGCCACTGTTTTAGGTACAACAAACAAAAAAGATAAACAAATCAATACTAAGGAAATTAGAAAAAACATAGTATTATGTTTGGCAAATACACAAACTTGATTCCAACACACTTTATGCCCGTTGTCACACAAAACATAATCTTATTCCAAACAAGAATAAAAACCCCACACGTACAATGTTGAAATGAATTTTGCATATCCTATATCGGCTCCTTGCATGATTTCCGATTGTGGCTTCCCAACTTATCATATCTCCCGCACCTTATTTGCTTCAATTTCTCCCCCCTTGATGGAATCTTATTCTTCTTCGGCCTGCCGGGTGGTCTTTTTACAGTTGGTGGGTATATGGTGAGGTCCGTGGGATCGAATGGTGGCTTTTCCACCAATGGTATATGGAATATGGCACCTGAGTATGCTGCATGATACGTCTCGACATGAAAATAATGTTCAACACAATCGCTGAGATTGTACCGATTCTTCTGAATTGCAATAACAGCATGGTCACATGGGAAGCCGTTGATCTACCATTGAAAACAAAAACAAGTACGCCTCGCAATATCAACCGTGACAGATGGTATCAAATGAACCTCGAATACATCCTCATTGGCCTTGCTAACCTGCCAAGACCTACTGTCATTGAACGAATCAAGAAGCATGGTTTCAAATGTAGGACAAACAACCTCATTCCACTTGTTCTCTTGGTCCTGCCGCGCCAACATTTTTCGTATCAACTGAGTATGAATAATGTCCACCGTTCGAGTGATAAGAAGATTACGTGATTTTTTGATCCAATTATTAAATGACTTCGCTGCATTGGATGTCATCTTTTCATAACGCATGCCCCTGCAAAATATAACAACATTACACAATAATTGAAATGAATTTTCTTGACCTGAATATGACATTTCACATCAAATATACATTAAGCATATAAACCTACATGAAATATGAATTTGCCCAGTGCTCAGGTGCCAACTCCTTCAAGAAACTATGTGTTCGTTGCTTACCCTCCTCCTTTAATTTCTTAAGTTTTTTTATGAAAACCCACCACAGTTGGCTCATATGCACGATCACCCAAACTACTAACCAAGTGGTCCCTAAATTGATTACCAACACCCTTCGTCCAGTCCCTTAAATTGTTCTTCAAGCGTTGTAAGTAATAACCGTGGTGAGCTGATGGGAATACCTTTGGCATCGCTTCTAATAACCCAATATTATGATCAGAAATGAACGTAATTTGTCGCCTAGTATCAACAACCTTCCCAAGCTTGTGCAAGAACCATGACCAATTGGTCGTAGTCTTTGAATCAACAATCGCAAATGCTACAGGAAATAAACCTACGACAAATACAACACAACAACATCGAACACATGAACACAATATTCCAATGTGAATATTAACAACAAAGTGTTAAATTAAAAACACGAATCAAACGGGTGTTGTGAACATCTACATCATGTCAATATTCTATTACTCTATTTTGCTTACATGTGAATTCTTGTTGGCATGTTGTAAATAATAACATCTTATTATTTCACTTGTTAGTGTCAATATTCACATTCTGACATGAATAAAATGTAATGTAAATATTTACATCAGTTGAAAACCAATAAATACTAACCATTGTTCCCATTTTTCACCATTACGGCAAGTAGTTGACCTTTATACCTTCCTTTCAAAAATGTCCCATCAAGGAATAACAATGGTCAACAAAAATTGAACCCCGAAATACACGCAGCAAATGATATAAAAAAAGGGCTAAATTTTTGAGTGCTCGAGTCGTAGTCAGTATTAACATAACTTCCCGAATTGTAACGCATCACGACATCTGAATACCATCGCAACTTGTCAAAAGATAATACGTGATCCCCGTGAATGACTCCCCTTGTTTTCTCTAAGCCCAACCACACAACATGGTGGCTTACATCCAACCCATAGTCCCGCTTCAAAATACTGACCACCTCACACGGGCGAGTTAATGGCTTATCCCTAACAATTTCAAAAATAATAGTCGATACCAAATCAGAACTGACTCTCGGATTTTTCGACGTTCGGACATCCCTACCACAGCTATGTACGTTACTCAACCTCTTAATATAGAAAAATCCATTTGCTGGTTATGCTCTACAATGTATAACCCAAAGGCAACCCCTATCCTCACGCATCGTACATACCACAGTAACCTTCGCTCTCTTATTCTTGACATACTTAAATTAGAACCCACATTGGATTGCATACTTGTATAAAACATTAGAAAATTCTTTAGCACTCCTACAAATCGTTGTCCCACGTGTGTAATACCATCGGCCCAAGGGGCTGACAACAATTTTTTCTCCTTATGGTGGCAAAATCTATGGAGTGCATCCATTTCATCCCCACCCCCCACACGCAGTGAACCAGAGCTACTAGACTGACCAACTTCACTTTTCAACTCAACGACAACCTCTATGTGTTGAACCCCCATTGATTTGGCAAGTAATAACATACTTTGAAACTCATCATCATTGTCCAAATTACACCTATTAATCCTAGGTAGCCGATAGAACAATGAAACACAATCAACAGATAATTCGCTCCATTTTTCACACACACACATGCACTCCACGAAACGTGTATAAGACAGTACTCGTACCACATTTATTACAATAGTATTGCCCGCATATGAGCACACCAACAACGTAAAGGTATCCATCTGTTGCAAAGACATAAAAATAAAGAAGTGAACAACCACATTATGAACACACAAACACCACAAAAAAGGTTTATAACAACTGTATATGAACATTGACATCATACCAAAAAAAAAAATCGTTAAGTCTATAATTTGCACAGCTAATCCCAAAATCGAACACTTTATGAACATTCACATTATTCATGCAATGTGAATATTCACCACATTCAAAAAAACCGGAACATAACTCAAACACATGACTAGCCAAAACCTTAAGACAATGAAGTTACATGTCCACCAATACCAGAAAATGAAGTTGGAAGCAAAAAACAGAGCATACAATCCTTCATATAAATACAATCACAAATGGCATGCATCCATTACATACTAACCTTAAGACAATGTAATCAAACAGAGCACAGTATTCATCTTCTTCAAACAGAGCACTACTCGTTCCCTCGTCTAATCAATGTTTGACTTCGCAATAATGTAAACAAACAAAGCACACTGTTTTTCTTCTTCAAATATAAGAGAAACCCTAACACAACCAAGAATCACACAACACATCAATTCACAATGACAATGAAACTGCATGACAACCAACATGGGGAACTACCAAAACATAATGATAGTGTTTATTTTTTCCTGTGTAATATATAACAATATTAAATATAGGGGTATAATAGTCTCAAAAAGTAGTGTAAAATAAGAAAAAAGACTTTATGGAATAAAACTATAAATACATTAGACTAAGTGGAATATAAATTTCCTTCATGGACATCTTGGGTTAAAACACTCCTAAATGGAATTTATCAATAAAAACCCTATTTTTTATTTGTAACACATTCAATGATATATAACCAAACTCCCTTATCACATCATTATGTTTGTGGATAGATTTGTTGATCTCTAACATTGCTTATATTTGTAGTTAAATGCTCTTATATGTCACTTAATTATTTCACTGAATTATTTATTTATTTTTATATGTGATGTTTACGTGATAGGGTGGGTTCTACTTTAAAAAATATGATCACCATTGAGTATCTCTAATGTTTCATCAAATTTGATGAAAATTTTGATCTAATATGATACTCTCTATTGGTAATTTAAAATTTGTATCAACTCTTTCTACAAAATTCCTAATTCATCCCCAAAACTTTCACAAAATGAAGTTGCACCCTATAGAAGATAAAGTTACACTCTACACAGGGTACTTGCACCCTTCACACTATGACTAAATCAATGACTCTTTCCTTTCATACTGTTCTCTCTCTCTCTCTCACAATGAGTTTTGTCTCTCTTAACCTGCAAAACCTAACATTTCATAAAACTCATGGGAGCTCAAATTCGAGATTTTAGTATTGAAGTTCAAGGTCAAAATGACAGATGAGGACATAAAAGGTATTTCGATTTTATAAAAAATATTATCGTTGAGAATTTACTGAAAGAATAAAAACTCTATTGAGAGCATCTCCAACGGTGAACCAAACCTGACATCAGATTTAAATTTTGGTGAAAAAGTCACTTTTTGGAGCTCCAAAGGTTTCAGCAAATTGGTATCAAAATGAGAATTCACAAAAAAATTTATGAAAGTGAGAACAGGGTACAGATTTCACTACTTTACTGTACGTGACCGTTGGAGGAGACCAACCGGTCAACCAGTCAGTTGACCGGCCGGTTGACCAACCGATCGACCGATTCCTTTTCAAATAGGTAGGTTCAAACCGGTCAAAAAGGTTCACACAGGTAAAAAATAAATAAATAAATAAATTTTTTTGCCTTACCGATCGACTCACCGGTCGACCCTCCCCTTTTTGATGCACGGTTGGAGGAAGAAATATCAGATTGAGAAAATTAATTTTTTTTTACTCAAATTTGGTGAAAAATTTGGTTCACGATTGGAGATGGTCTGATTTGATGAAATTTTGATCTCTCCCCATAGTAAAGTCCCCTGAACAGAACTTTCTCTCTCTAACTTTGAGAATTTCTCTCTCTACACTTATCTCTCCCTAGGGTTTCAAGTGTAAGTGGCGGCTGGGGATGGGGGAGGGGGTTTCCGACAGCCTTTGGCCTCCTTTCTCCTCCTTCTACCCCTCCTCTCTCTTTCTTTTCCATGCTTTTTATTCAATAACTTGGAAGTTCTTGGCTTTCCACCATTCTTCCTCCTTTTGTAAGGTGTTTATCTTCGCTTTTACTTCAACTCCGGCCATGGCCTTTACCGGATCTGCCGTCTCTCCTCCTCTCCGCTCCACTCCAGCGTTGCCTCTATGTTCTGCACTCCTGTTCAGCCACTATCACCTCTTGTTCGCCTCATTTTTCTATCGAATCTACTGCCTTCCTCCCCTAGATCTACAGCCTTCCACCGTCAATTCGTCGTAGCCACTGCCTGGCAGTTATGGCTTTTGAGGGTTTTGTGTTTTTGTTTTTGTTTGTTGGTGTGTTCATAGCTTACTCACACAGTTTAGATATAACCTGTGAATGTATCTTTGACTTATTTTAGCGTCGAACTCTTATGATCGACATATGTTTTGCAGTATGAATGTTATGTCTTAATATATCCGTAGCTTATTTTATGTGCCTCTTTTGGGGATTTTCCTTTATTTTGAACAAGGTTGTTTTTCAGTTTGGTGTAAGCTTGTTAATGATTCCTTTGTAAATGTCGTTTGGCAATCTTTACTTTAATGAAAATTTCTTTGATAAAAAATATACATATATATCTCCCTTTATTTGACATGAATTTAATAAAATAGTTAGAGCACCATTTTAATTAATTTTTTATTAGATTTAAATTTAATGAAACATTAATAAAGGATTGCAGACGACCTCGTAAAGATAAAAACATGAGTAATATTAGAAATATCAAATTTTATATCAAACAAATATAGGTGTGGGGTTTACAATTTTGTGGACCCTACACCCATGTGAGACATTTAATCATTTATTACTTATGTGAGACATTTAATCATTTATTTAGTAAAAAATTTGGAACCTATAGTATTTTTCAAAACATATTCCTTTTATGACAAGATGACCTCCACATCGGGATTCCTTTCATAAAAAGGGTTGGGCTTCCCTCTAATCGGTGATCTAATTGGAGGGTACTGTTGAGTCTATGGGAGCCCATTACGAGTCTCGTTTTAATAACCTGAACCGTTCAATGTAGACTCCATCGAATACTATATGCCTGTAAAAAATTACGTTGATCGGATATCGATTGCTATTTCATCGTATCAGATTTCTGTCAACTGTTTATTTTTTCACCGTCTATTTTTTTATACAAAATTGATTTAAGCACATAACTATCGATATCCGATCAATATAATTTTTTACAGACATATAGTATTTAACGAATTCTACACATTAAATAATTTAAATTATCAAAACGAGACTTGTGGTGAACTTCCACAGCCAAACAATACCCTTAAGTCGCGGACTAGAAGGAAGCCAGCCCCTGATAAAAAATAATTTTGCTTTGTTTATTTTGCTGGACTTTCTGAATGGTTAAAAAATAATCGCGGACTTTCTGAATGGTTAATCATATGTTAATCATATTCATCCTGTCCTTGTATCATACTGCTTAGCCATTCATTCATGTCTCATGTTTGCTTGCTAAGGCGCCCATCCCTTTTTTAAATCAAACAGAGGTAGACATTTGATAAAATTTTTTATAAGGGTATAAGACTCACGAAACTCACATAATGTGAATCTCACATTCATATGAAACATTTGATAAAAATTATAAAAAAACTTTTAAAATCTTTAATATTACTCTTTTAAACCTCCTATCTTTGGATGAAAGATACAAATATAATTTGTTTTAAAAAAAATGGATCATAAAAGAAAAAGAGTGATTTTTTTTCTTTTTCGGTCTCTATTTGATTCACTTTTCCTTTACATTTTCTTTCTATTCACAAATCACTGATCTAAACACATTGGTCTCTATTCCGATGTACCTAAAAAAAAAAAAAATTCACTTTTCCTCTACTTTTTTCATTCTATTCACAAATCACTGATCTAGACACAGCCTAAAATTCAACTTATGATTGTATTTGAATCAAAGATTTGAAGAAAAATTTACCGAGGGTAAAATAGAGTTTACAGAGAAAAAAGATTGAAATAATCCAAACACAGTATGTGCCCGGTAATTCTCACTTCTCAAATTTTCAATCCAAACACAGCCTAAACATAAACACAATAAACTGGTCCAATAGCATCCAGTCAACTTATATATAAACAGACTTCAAGTTCCATTAGTTCCATTTAAGCTTAAGCTCTCTATAATGTTATCCTTACAACGGTCCAATATTTGGGCAGAAAATATAGAAGTTCCAACAGAGCACCTGGGTCACTGAATTTAGATAATCAAACACTCTAAACAAAACACCTAGCTCGTTTAATTTAACTCAATATCAATGCATTTGAAAATATAAACTTGCAAGTCCATCTTATTAAATTTATTCAAATACGTTCTTAGTCTCAAAAGCAGCCATAATTATCTTCAACAAGGCTAAAAACCTCAATCAGCAGAGGCAATATGATCAAATCCACATTATCAGAGCCTATTATAGGGATTTTGCTCATTCAGCTGCTTTGCCTTTGCGTCTGCTACTACTTCCTCCGGTCTCCAAAAGGTAACAAACCACGGAATCGACATCATCCCCAAATATGTTGTATGCCTCAATCACCTGCAGATAGCTGAATCCCATCGACAGCACTATCTGCATGCTGCTGCTAAGGACAGTATCCGACAAACCACGCTCCCTCCCACCATCCACCTGGGTTTCACTTCCTGAAGGTCCTGTTTTCCGCGTTCAAAACATTAGGTCAAACATTGGAACAAAAGCATAATGCAAAAAAAAAAAAACCCTTTTTCATATCAAGACAAAAAACAGTAAACTTCAATCTGTTTCGATTGAGTAAAAAAAAATACATTTCTCTTGCTTCATATCCTTTGTTTGGATTAGTAAGGAGAGAGAAATGGAGTGAAATGGGACAAAATAGATAGGAACTCATTTCTCTTATAACACCCTCATTTTGAATCTTTCCAAAAGTACAGAGATTTGGAGAAAAGAAACCAACAAATTACTATTTTTTCATAATACCAAAACTGCCCCTTTAGATTAGAAGAAATTGAAATACTGACACCTATAAAAGGTCATATTGATAATATAACATGAAACAATTTCTTTTCTTTTCTTTTATGTAGTTTAACCAAACCAAACAAGATAGGATAGAAATCATTGTTATTCTCCTATTTTCTCTCCTATTTATCCAATCTTTTCCCTTATTTTATTCTCTCTCCGAATTTATATGATAATTTCTTTTCTTTTCCCTGCTAGGTTCCCAAGCAGACTGGAAGTAATAAAAGCTAATAATCTTAACACTATGAGAGGGCAGGTGAGATTGTGATTTGACATAGTAAAAAAAACTCACTAGCTCCAGAAGATGATGGTTCAGCACCAGCAGTTGAAGATTCTTGCCAACCCAGTTGTTGATTGAACTCAGCCCGAGAAGTTTCCATCACCATGCGTTCAATTTCCTTCTCAGTTAGCTCAAGATCCGAGTAAAATCGTCCCTCCGCTAGGAGTGCCTTTCAATAAAAAAAAGTTTTGAAAGGAGTCAAAATTGTGTTAGTACATCTTGTTAAGTCATGGTTCATTTGGACATGCCCTATAATCATGAAAAAAGACATTTACATTATCTATCTGTTGGTCTTGTTGAGCTTTGATCACAGCCTTGATTTGATCCTTGTCAACATTTCTCTGTAGAGAACATAACAACCATATTGTCAGTGAACCAACCATCAGGTACAATGTTGATACAAGCAACAAAACTAGCAAGGCTAGGCATACTTTAAACTTATAGCCATCTGCTAATTGATGACATTTCAGACCTTAGGGTAGTTCAGGAAAACCAGTCGAATGAATCCAAATTTGTAAAATATTGCCTTAGAACTCACCCCCTGCAGACAGCTAAATCCAAGCCCTGCACCAATTGTCAACCGCCCTGGATCAACAAGTGAGTTGTAATGATTCCCATGATGATAACTTAGTCGTACAGGAGGTGTGTCAGTACCATAGCTTCCATGAAATATGTTGATAGGTTCTGCATTTGTACAATCCAGGAATGAAAATGGCTTTAATGGTGAAAAACCAAATATTCTTCATAATGAATATCACAATCATCTAGAATTTAAAATAGGCCAGCACCTGTGCTATAGGCATAAATATGGATAGGCCGATTGTACATCTCAGCCAATGCTTGGATCTCCATATTGTTTCCATAAACCTGCAAAACCAGGAGATGTACATATAATTGTAAGAACTGAAACAGACGGAACTGTGCTCTCAAACACAAACTAGATCAGAAAATTGATGAGCTATTAATCTGAATAATATGGAAAGAATGCATAATTAATACAATGTGAATCTGGGGCAAGACATCTTAGTTTAAGATTTGCTATACAAAAGTACTATTTTGTGAATCGTAAACCATTATACATCACAAGCGTTGAAAACATATAATTTATTAATGAATTGATCATCCATCAAAAATAAATAATCACAAGTAAATACTATTTTGTCAATCATAAATCATTACGTCACAAGTGTAGAAACAATTTAATTTAATAATGCATAGATCATCCATCAAAAATAAATAATCACAAGCTGAATGTGCCGCAGGGTGTCTGTGATTTGTCCCCAATGTGTCCACTGAACAAAGTCAAATAAAAAATAGACATGCCATGTGGCACGTCTGACATGTGTCCTAGAGTGTCGGAGGTGCAGCTACTAATTTGAAGTGTCCGTGCTTCATATGTCCCCACTCAGTGGAGCCAGATTGACAAACATGATTTAACTACCCAATAATCTTTATATAAAAAATAATAAATAAAAATAAACAAATAAAAAAACACATTTTGAAACCATATAGACAATTTTGAAGCAGCCTGATTACATTGTCTTGGTTTTCACCTAAGATATCTGATTAAGTTCCAAACTCGAAGAATCGCACGAATCAACTTTATAACTTATGGGCTTGTTTGATTAGGTGGACTCTAGCATAGGATTGAGATTATTAATCCATAGGGCTTACATTCCATTGTTTGATTGCAAATTTTATTATTCAGATTAGGTTCCAATAGTCATTCTATCCAACAAAATTGATAAATTTTTTAATCTTACAACTAATAAGACAAACCATACATATAATTGGGATTATAAATTTTATATCTATTGCAAAATAAACTTGGATAAGAAGAAATTATGTAGCTCAGCAATCCAACTGGATAACTAATCCTACACTAAACCCCTTGATTGTTAATCCCTTCGCTATTAATCCTTGCTAATATAAGAACAAATTTCAGGGAGAGAGAGGAGTAGGAACTAGGAAGGACTAATGCCATTGGATAAAGAAATACCCAAACACTAAAATAATATATCAACCATTCAAATGAAATCCTTTGGTGAATTCCAACACAGGAAATTAAGGTGCTAAATTTCAATTGCTAATTGCAAACAAAACAAATAATGTCTATGGATAGGGAAAAAATTGAGGATTGATGTAAAACTTAATTAGCTCATTCATCAAAATAGATGATGCCAGCTATTCTATCTAGTAAGGCCTCACGATAGCTGTATCATAAATGTCATCAAATATCATGCTCCCTCCCATCTTGATTGTTTGGGGGCTGCAGGCCACCACCACAATGTAGTACAACTCACCATTGCCCCCCTTTTTTTCCCCCAATGGTGCCCATCATTGCCTTTGAACCACCCAAAAAAGAAAGATAATCAAGTAAATTCTTCCACTAAAATTTAAATTTGTGGAAGCTTTGTTTTTTCCTTAACACAGAGAACTAAAAGATCACAAAGTAAAACAGAAGTAAATTCAAGTTCAACTTTGCTTTTTGAAAATGTCATCTAGAAGGAATGAGCAGAAATCCAACTAATATCACATACCTTATCCCTTCTCTTCCTCTTGCAATAGGATGTGAAACCTTCAGTTATAAATTGAGAAAAGTGGTCTCTCTCCCGCTCCTACAAGGACAAAACCGAAAGGATTATTTGCCTTATAAGTGCTTGGCCTTCACAAGCATTTCTTCTAGCAACTTTAGAAACTTGCATAATGTTGGCCTGCAAACACCTATTTAGTACCTTTTTTAAATAAAGAATATCATAGGGTTACAAATAATACCAAATTTTAAAGAGATAAAACATGTTTCTATATTAAAATGGTTAATTGGTACTACAAAGATGATCCTCAATTTTGGGCCACCATAATAGACTTATCACCCTTGCTTTTGCCTATGCGTAGTGAACTTTTTTCTCGTGCACAAACAAGCAGCCAAAATGATAGTACAAAAGTACATCCAGTCTCCATTAGGTGGTGGTTTGGGAGAGGTAGATTAGGCACAAACTTAACCTTTAGCATAATTTGCACAAAGAGGTTGCCATCATTGTTGAACCCACGACCTCAACTTTAATAGGCCAAGTTTTAACGTCCCTCTTTTAGTAGGCATTCCAAAAATGAAATTTTGGAATATCATTTTGTATTGGGTAACTAGAGCAAAATTGTTTTGGGTCTTGATCAATCTTGCTTTTCTCAATCATTTGTTAAGAGTTCCATTGTATTATCAAGTTGGCTTCATGCAATTCCAAGCCAAGAGTTTTGGGTTTGAAACCAAAACTATGTTGGACAAAGCATTTACTAAGAAAATTAAGGCTACCTACAATTAATCAAGGATAACTAGAGCATCAAATTATAAAGGATTTATGGATAGTAAGGTGAGCTTAGATCTAGGATGGAATAAAGATTAATTGGTTGATTGTTATACAGATAAATAAAAAAAGGGAGAAAAGCCTCGAGAGATTTTATACAAAATAGCCTTGGGTTTTAATCTAAGAAGCATGGATACGGAAACGCGACACGACACGGACACGCCGACACGCTAATTTTCAAAAAATGCAGGACACGACACGTAGGGGACACGCATGAAATATATAATTTTATATATTTATTATGTGTTATATATACGAATATATCATTTAAAGATAATAAAAAATACAATATGACACTAATTCTTATAAATTTATATAGTTTTTGTTTTATTATTATATCTTAAGTTGTTTTGTTCAAACTTATAATTAGTTTCAGTTGTGTCTAATCGTATATTTAAGCGATAGACATATATGTCCTCCAAGTGTCCAGAAAGTATCCGAGTCTTTAAAAAAAATTAAAAAATAGGACACGTTTTGAAGAGTGTCGGACACGTGTCAGGGAAGTATCCAAAGAGTGTCAGTGTCCGACACGAATACGTCACCTTCTTAGAAGTGTCCGTGCTTCTTAGGTTTTAATTATTAAAGGTCGTGGCTAGGTGGATAAAAGGGGGTGAATACTTAGAGGGTAATTATGAATATATCATATATGCATTTTTCACCATGGTACTGGAATAAAAAACGAACACGAGTACAAAGGAAATGAGGACTAGGAGGAAGAGAAAAAAGAGAAATACTAAAAGTTTATTAAGGATTTCTAAAGTCCCCCAACCCCCTTTCTTAGTAGTTAGCAGGCATAAAGTTCCAATCCATCCCAAATGGTAGAATCATGGGAACCCAAATCACATTCTTCTTCCCCTCAAGATCCCTGCCATATGTGATTCCTTCCAGATTGAGTAGGTAATTAGAAATCACTTCCTCATTCCAATCGGAGCCAAGTGATGTAATCATGGGAACCTAGAATCACATTACTATTCCCGCTTAAGATTCTTACCATCCAAATTGCTTAGAATGCATACTAGTCAAGAGGATTAACAACTGATACAATACAGCTCAATCAACCAATCCAAAAATTCAAAAAAACAACTCATCATCATCTCTGGTCACAATAAATATCACCCTAGAACGTTGTCTCATAAGGAAATTTCCAGATATACCCTGACGATAAATCAAAGTCAGTCTGCTTCGAATTTCTCTCTCTCTCTCTCTCTTGTGGTGTCGGGGAACAAACAAACAATAACAATTGCAAGATGAAAGACAGGAATTCACATAAAGATGCAAAGATGTATACTTTAGCTTTCAAGGATAGGAATTCACATAAGAATAGTCATACCATATAATCAATGCACATTTGTCTAACCAAATCATATGCATCAGAGTCCCCATACACCTGATCTGCAACAGCACGAAAGAGGCAGTTCCCATCCTCCAGCATTCGTTTGACTTCTAACCCTTCTGCTCTTCTTATATCAATCTCAAACTGGCGTTCTCTCTCCTGAAATAAAAGCAACAGGCCAATTTTATAATACTGAATTTGATGAAAACCATGGACTAGGTAAATGGCTAAGATTGAGTTAGGATCAGAATTCCAATCATAAAGTAGAACATCATGAGCGTTAGCAAGTTATAAACTTTATTTACCTATGATGCCTAGATGCAGCAGGGAAGCAGAACAGCTTTTTAATCTTATCATGACTTGTAAAATTCATTTAATCATTTTACTTAGAAAAAGTCAGGATGTTTGAATTTCAGAGGCAATATATATGCCATATATATATATATATAAATGTTCAACTGGAGAAGGATAACTCAATCCTATAGCATTAGTAATTAAGGAACATCTGCTTGCTGAAATAACTGATTGGAAAAAGTAGTTACAATCCAAAAAAATATAAATGTCAAAAGGCAAAAAAGAAGAAGAGGAGATTTTGGCTCATATGAAAATAATGAGCAATTACATTTAGTACAACAATCTTGACATAATCCGCAGTAGTAATGAAAGAAAAGCCTCCACATATCATCATGTTCATTGCTAAGTGCATGAATAATCAATAACCAGCAAGGGCATGTGGATGAACAATTTACTTGTAAATAAATTAAAAATAGAAATGAAAAGAGAAAAAAGGAAAGACAGAACAGATCTTACTGCATCTCCGTAGGAGGATCCAAATGAAGGGCTCTGCTCATCGGAGCTATTGTAACCCTCACTTTCACAATGAGACCTGGGTGAAGAAGGCCTAGACCCGGTTGGTAAAGTCCTAGTTGAAACAATAGGCCATGCAGCGGCTCTTCTAGACGATCCACTACGCAGAGAATTTGAACTACCCGATACAGACCTCCTAGGAAATGAGTTTGTTGAAGAAGGTTTAGGAGGTGGGACTGGAGGGGGAGGTGGATATGAGCACCCGGTAACTGTCTGCAAAGGTTTGCCACTGGAACCATCATTTTCATTGTCCATAATCCTCAACACACCTACACCTTTTGTCAAATCACCAGAACCCACATCATCATCCCCAACTTTCTCACTGTCAATAGCTTCATCATCATCATCCTGATCACATTGGAATCTCTCTGGCAAAAGATCATCACTTTTACCTGCCTTATTATCACCACTATCGAAACACTCCACAAAATCATCCACAACAACCTGTTCTTGCACTTCTTCTCCAATTTCATCATCTTTCACAGCAGAAGCAACTTGAGGAGTAGTAATCTGAAGCTGGGGAGGAGCTGAAGAAGAAGAACCGGGCAATGACGATGGCTTATTCGTGTTCGATGACGAACCAGTTGAACCACGCTGAACCAAAATCCGAGTCATCTTGTCTTCTCGTCAACCTGAACCCAAGCCCGTACCAATTTCCCAAAAGAACCCAAAATTAGAGGTACAAAACCCTAATTTTCAATTTGCCTCGCGTCCTCACCTTAGGCAAAGTCACGCCAATCCCACGGCTGAACGATTTGCTCCAGCCCAGTGCCCTCTGCTCCTCGCGAATCGATCTCTGCATTCCCCTAACAATTCTCATGAGAGCTTGACCTCCAACTTTTAAACAACAAAACCCTCTAAAGTAGTCCAATTTACCCGAAATTTTTTCGATAAATCAACTCCTACAGGAACCAACTGCAATAAAAAAAACGCATATCCCATCCAAATAAACCCAAAAAATCCCTAATTCAACACACCAAAAAAAAAAAAAAAAAAAAAAAAAAAAAAAAAAAAAAAAGAAGCTAATAAAAGTCGGAAATTTTCAAAATCAAACACAATCGGACATTGATTGGCGAATTAAACAAAGAATATCAATAAAAATCGGACTATAAGTCCCAAAAAAAAAAAAAAAAACTAGAGTTGAGACAGTTCGAGTTCAGAGACTCACCTGAGTGACCTCTCGAGTTCGTATCTGAGGACTCCAATAACTGAGATATATCTGAATTTGTTGTTGAGAGAGCGAAGAAAGAGAGAATGAAGGTGATGATTGTCTAGGGTTTTTGAGAGAGCCAAACACAATAGCAGTGTAGAGAGAGAGAGAGAGAGAGAGAGATGGGAATCGGCGTTTGTGGGAAAAATGGGAGGCTGGGTTTTAAGGAGGGAGAGACGGCCACACGTGCGTGGACTGTTGGGTATTTTTGGATAGTGAAAATGTTTATATAAACATTAATTAATTAATTTTATAAAAAAATATACTTACTAATGTTGTGTGATCTATCATGCATGTGGTTCTACATCTAGCTTTGTAGAATTTGGATTGTTTGCTAGTCAAAATCATTAGCAGGCATTGAGAACAGGTAATTTGGCAGTTGAGAGGCTTGATTATGGATAAATTAGGAATTCGAACATCTTTAATTTGATTATTTTGAAAGTAATCTAGTTGTTAGTATTTTGTATATTTATGTCAAGTTTGGCAACTTAAAAATAATCTATCTTTTTATTTTTTTTTATCATATCATCTCTTTATTTTTCTGCACGTCTTTTCATAAAAAGACAAAAAATATATTTATTTAGGTCATTTCAAACAATCCCTTAATTGATACTTGTGTCAAAATCATTAGAGACCAATCAAAATAGATAATTTAATAGTTGAGAGGTTTTATTATAAGATGAATCATAAATTCAGACATCTTGTATTTGACTCTCGTTAGTATTTTGTACGTTGAATTGATATTTGTGTCAAAATCATTAATGACCAATTAAACAAGCAATCTAGCAATTGAGATGCTTAGTATTTTGTAGATTAATTGATACTTGTGTCAAAAATCATTAATGGCCAATCAGAATAGGCAACCTAACTATTGAGAAGCTTCATTATGGGATTGACAATAAACTCAGACATGAGTTTGACTCTCACTATCATAATTATGGGATAGATAATAAACTCAGACATTTTAAATTTGACTTTTGCTACTATTTTGTAAGTTTAATTGATACTAATAATTTACAAATAATTATAAGTATTTAAGATTTACTGTACAATATTAGATCCGATAGGACTATAAGTTTGAAATTTTATCGTCATAAAGAATAAAAAGAAATTTTATTACCAGCCTATTACTAGATTTCCTTTCGGTTAGGCCCTTCAATCTTTTTGAATCTGCTAATTTCGTATTCACAATACACTTTTTATCCTTCTTTTTATTTTATTTTTTCAATTTTTTATTAATCCCGAAGCTCTTTTTGTGAAGATATTATATAACAAGATGCATATACTGCATCAAAGCCACGTAGACGTGTGTCATGCACTACTAGCACTCTCTCTTTGCACCTAGATGTTCCACTAGTCTTGTAAATTTGTGAACAGGTATAAAACCCTTTTAGGACAAGAATATTCTCATACATACACATAAAGACGAAAATATCCCAAGTACATGGCACGACGAGTCCCTACATTTGATCCCAAGCAAAAAAAAAATTAGGAAAATGGTTTGTAGCCCCACTGGAGCGGAAGTTGATTGGCCCATATTTCTTTTCTTTTTTTTCCTTCAATGATCAACTTTTACGTGTGTATGGGGTGGTGAGGGTGGAAAAACAGGGAGTCTGAATCAACACTCTTTTTTTTATTTTTTATACTAAAAATAAACATATACATATTTAATATTTTTTTTATAAATAATAAAAAAACTACAGATGTTACAAACGACAATGATGGCCATGTTTGATAGAGTTTATTTTTAACTTATTTCAGCTTTTAACTTAATTTAAATTATTTGATGTGTTTAGTTCAGCTTAACAATACAATTTATAACTTTTTGTAAGTCAAAAATCAACTTATTCTTTGAGTGGTAGAGGAGAAACTTAAGTCAAAAATCAGTTTATGTTTACAATTATAAACTATAAACTGTTAGGTTATAAGTTATAATCACTTTTCCACAATTCTACTAAACGGTGTATGAAAAAGTTGGAAGGTCATCATAACAAACTTGGAATGGGAAAAACTGCGTGAATAAGAAAGGAAGTGCCCAGATTGGCTCGGAGTTTATGTAGGGATTGAAGAGAAAAACCAAAATGAATGCATGAATGAAGTACATCCCATCAAGTTTAATCAAGTTCTTATTTCATAGGGGCATTAAACTTGATGCAGAGAGTTCAAATAAAACAAAATTTAGGAATGACTGAGTAACAAGAAAAGATGAATTTGCCCTGTATTTCATAGTATTGAGTTTCATTAGAGAAAAACTCCTTTCCAGTAACCACCCATGTTTTTTACACTGTTGAATACATACATGCCTGCCTCGTTTCTATCTTACAAGCCACAATCATGCCGCTCGACATTTATTCTACATATCTCAAAATCTCCCAAGGGAAAAAGAATGAACAACTATGGCCGACCCATATGTTACCAATTAGTTGTGTAATTTGCCTTACCAGACATGATTTTGAACAAACAATATAAGACAGTCTAAACATTAAGCTCACTGTAACAATAAACAGAATAGTTTCCCTATGGCCGCAATCTCCATCCGCGCTCCGCAAGTGCTTGATGCACACGATTGGCTGCTTCAGTAGCATCATTTAGTGGAGGGTAACTCCAGCTTTCTGACATCTGAATATTTTACATGGAAAATAAAAATGTTAATTATAAATAGATGGAAAAAAAACATAAATCCATTACATCTTGACCAATGGTGGATGGGGAGAGCTACTTCAAAATGGTTATGGCGTTCTTCCATAAGCCATGGTCGAGAAACCAACAAAACCTTTCTAATCATTGTCTAGTAAAAAAATACACACAATAACTGACAAGCAATTCATGGTAAGGGAAAATAATTATACAATTACTGTTGTTTCCCAAGGGGTTGCCTCAACATCTTCTAAATTTATGCTCATTCTTCACAACCTTTTATTTTTTCACACATTTAACAGGTGTAATGAGGCTGCACATGATAGTTGCAAAATGAGCTATTTTCTCAAAGGTTTTTGGTGTTCTCAGTCATCCGTTTGTACAGACCGTTGGGTCTAATGATGAATAAAATTTCTTCCTTCAGCCACCAAAAAAAAAAAAAAGTTTACATATGTCCTAAGTTGGAACAAAAAGAATATTCAGGTATGCTTTTATTAATATAGGGTAAATTACATTGACACCTCCTAAGGTTTATGTTTATTACAGTTCTCCTCTCACCTTTTGAAAATTACATCTCCCTCCTGAGGTTTAAAATTTCATTACAGATTTCCCCCTTCAGCAATTTAATTTTTTTAAATACCAATTTTGCTCTCATTGGGTAGCTTACATTGGCACCCCTCACATTTTAGAAATTACAATCCCTTCCCAAAAGTTTAAAGTAGCATTACCAATTGTCCCCTCGGTTAGTGTTAGTTGAAAAAAAAAATTCATTGAAAAAAAATTAATTGAAAAAATTTTTTGTTAGTGAAGTTTTTAAATTTCTGTTTAAAAACCAATTTTGAATTTACGTTTTTTCCTCAAATTTACAAACTACGACAACTATTTATAAACCAAAAAAATTATCAAACAAGTTTTTATAATAATTTTTTAAATTTTTGTAAATATAAACTGAAAACGAAATGGTTACCAAACAGGCTTCATGGTAAAAATGTCGTAAAATTAACAAATAATTAAATAAGTTAGCAACGTAAGAAATGACTTATCAAAATATTCTTAGGTTATGTATGGTTTGATTTTTAGAAAAAAAATTTAAAAATTAAAAATTAATTTGGTTAAGAAATAAAAAATAATTATCATTTAAAGGTAAAAAATAATTATCATTTTAACTTTTGGGCAGGTTTTGTACAGACGTATGACTGTTTCAATTTAATTTGTAAAAAATTATTTCTAACCACTCGAAAGGAACCTGCCCAAAAGTTAAAATGATAATTATTTTTTATTTTTTATTTCTTAACCCAATTAATTTTTAATTTTTAAAATTTTTTTCTAAAAATCAAACCATACATAACCTAAGAATCTTTTGATAAGTCATTTCTTACGTTGGTAATTTATTTAATTATTTATTAATTTTACGACATTTTTACCATCAAGCCTGTTTGGTAATCATTTCGTTTTCAGTTTTCAATTTATATTTATAAAAATTTTAAAAACTGTCATAAAAACTTGTTTGATTATTTTTTTAGTTTATAAATAGTTGTCTCAGTTTGTAAATTTGAAGAAAAAGTGTAAATTCAAAAAATGAGCTTACGTTAGTTTTTAAACAGAGATTTTAAAACTTAACTAATAAAAAAACATTTCAATTAATTTTTTTTTTCAAATAATTTTTTTTCCAACTAATTTTTTTTTCAATGAATTTTTTTTTCACCTAATACTAACAGAGGGAGCAATTGATAATGCTATTTTAAACATTTGGGAGGCGATTGTAATTTCTAAAATGTGAGGGGTGTCAATGTAATTTGCCCTCTTGATATTTAAAAAAATTAAATTGATAAAGAAGGAATCTGTAATGAAACTTTAAACTTCAGGTGGGAAATGTAATTTTCAAAAGGTGAAGGGAAAAACTGTAATAAATATAAACCTCAAGAGGTGTCTTACCCATTAATATAATATCCTTCCACCATTTCTTAATCTAAAAATCAGGACAAAAATAAGTAGAAGTTTAACTTACATCCTCAAGACCAGTAAATGGACGAACCAAACCTCTTTCTTCCCTCAGAGATTTATGGAACTCCACAAACTTCCATGTACAACGCTCAGCTCCTATGACATACACAGGCTTACTGTAAAAACAAAGTTAAAATAAATAATGAGAACACAGTAAATCAAAATGAAAACCATTTTAAAATGAAAAACACCAACACGCTCTAAATATGAGGATACCCAGTACTGCAAGCTACACTCAACATACTGACAGAATCAGCCGTGATGACAAAAGCATCAGCCCAAGCTAGATGCCCCATGTGTGGATTTGGCTCTGTCAATGATAGCGTAAAATTCTCAATGGGTGACTTTACAGATTTAATTATATATCTTCATTGCTTTAAATTGAAATAATCAAAAATTACCTTCACCATCACACACGTAAATTTTAGGATGATTTCCAAGTTCTTTCAGTATGATGTTGGAAACCTGTTGAAAACAAATCAAGAAAAAAAATAAATAAATAAGAATATTGAACCAAGCACACATTGGAAATGTAAGAAAACTGAACGATGTTACAATACCTTCTCAGGGGTTCTCCTTGAGAAAGATATTCTCACAGTTCCACAACTCAGTAGTGCGTTGTCCAGTGAGGCTATTAACTGCTTTGCTAAGTCCACACCATACCGACAGCGTCCTACAACAAGTTTTAAGAGAAGATATCAAACATGCATAACTTTTAATTACAAAGAAGCACAGTGAACCATTAAAATTCGAAACTAGAAGCCTTATTTCTGCTTCTCGGAAGTCAGAGTTCTGTGTATAATAACGAGGCAAAAAAGTTAATAACGAATGTTTTTTAAAAAAACTCAGACCTTTTAACAGTATCAGCATAAATTTCAGACTAAAATGTTAATTGTAGTTAAAAATGTTCAATTTCAGGATCTTATAAAATTCAACTGGGACCAAATGATACCCAGATCAGACTCCTTTCTTACTTTAAGAACTAATCCCTAAATACTTCTTAAAGGCAGGCCAACTTTCTTCAAGATACAAAATGCAGAGGACAATATGGCACCCCAATGAGCAGAGGAGTTGGTTTTTTTTCATAACAACCTCATCTTTTATCAAGGAGAAGCACAGAATACCATGAAGGAGAGACTTAAGTTGTGGGATATTACGAGTAACAAATTTGACTCATTTGGTGATGTTAGGATGCTTGAGTTTGCAAACCTCTCACTTGATGAGCATGAGATGGAGGTTGTGTATTTACAGATGATGTAGGTGCAGGGCAAGGAAACGGTGGTGGTGGTGATGACTTGGTAGAAGTTGGATCCACTCTTTTTTGGTGCTTTTGATGGATTTTGGATGTTAGAAGTTGAATGTTTACCAGTTTTTGCTTGGATTGTAATGATGCATTGGATGATAACTTCTTTATCTTAACTCTAATTGTTTATGCTTTTTCTATGGATGATCTATGAATTATTTACATTTAGTGGTTTTTTCATATTGAATTAGTATTAAATTTTTATTATTATTTATGATTGTTTGTGGATGTAATATTTATATATATACATAGCAAATAATTTATTTATTTTTCCCTGTTCCCACCAAGTGTGTTATTTATTTTATTCTTTTGAAATCACCGTGTCCTGTGTTCGTGCTTCTTAGGCCTGCACCAACACCATTATGCACTAATGATGCTATCACAACTATGAGATTATTTATGCCCTGACCCATATTTTAATAGCAACGCCACTGAAAAAGGAAGTTAAAGCAATCAGGCATCCAACAAACTAGCATTCCAACAAGAAAACCAATTCAAAAATGTACATTGAAATCAAAATGAAAATGTTAACATCTAAAATCAAAATCCCCATGGGGTAAATCTAAAATAAATATAAGAAAAAAAATTACTTGTAGGCCCTCCAATGTTAACTACGAGTAAGGGCTTTGGCAAAGGTGCAAACTCGTCATGCCAGGCACTAGCTGCATTCCGTAATGCAGCAGAATCAACTTGATGAGGAGCTCCTACGGTGAGGACCTGAACAACTTAAAGCATTCAGCAGTGAACAGAACCAAAGCTCATTTAAAGGAAAAGCTTCTCATATGGGGGAAAAAAAGAAAAAAAGAAAGAAGAGAAACTACTTCTAGAAATTGATTAATGGTCAAAGCATGTACCACATGCCTATCAGGAGGTTCACGTGGAGTAATCCACCGACGGAGAAACACAGGAACCTGCTCCTGTGCATGAGGAGTTAAAGGATAATAATCATGATGAGGAGTGATGACCATGTCAAACCTATTCAAATGGATCCTTGGGTGCTGAATCTGAAACCAAATTTTGAAAAAAAAAGAGAGCAGAAAGTCAGGCATTTGATATTTATTAAACAAAAAGAAACTCTAAGAGTCAGAGCATAGACCGTGTCACAGAAGTTTTTTTTTTTTAACAAAACCATGTCACAGCAGTTGGCATACAGACATGTAATGTTCGATTCACGGCAACTACATGTTTTAGTCAAAAAGCCAAAAAGTCACTATAAGTTGTCATATCACTCTCTCTACTTTTCTGCATATCTTTTCGTAAAAAGCTAAAAAGTTACTAAAATAACTTGTTCTCAAACGAGGTCAGTTTCCAATCCGTACATATTTCATATTAAGTTATCCAATCAACATGAAATTATAAATTATGGTATCCCTACAAGCCCCTGAATGTTTATGACATGTAATAACTAATTTATAAAGCATTTGTAACATTAAAATTTAAAAAATATTACTAAAAAAAAAAATTGGCAGACAATGAAAATGCCTCTAGCTCCATGCTATGATGTAACATCAAGTGGCAAAGACATTTCTAAAAGAAAGTCATATCAGCATTTAAATACAAAGGGAAGTATACAGCAAGGCCATAACATACTGCACAACACAAGGACAACACATTTTTCTAAGAGCAACACTACTTATTTTTAACACAACAAAAAAAAAAGTTGTTAAACCAAGTTCTTTACAAAAAGATCAATAATTGCCCTTAATCACCCAAAAAACAATCTTGTTTCAACGTCAAGTATTTGCAAAAAGGCACCAGCATTGCCATCTGTAAAAAGACAAGGTTCCAGTCACAAACCTGAACAACAAACACGTTGTCAGATGCTAATCTCTTTATGTCACTTGCAACTGATACTGTGTCTCTGCCAGATGCAACCACCAGTAAAGGGCCATCCCTGAAAGAAATTACATGATCATTTATCAGAGAGCCAAATAAATTCATGAAAGGAAAAAAAGCATCATATCTTCAGTCTTCAGCTATACTGCTATAAATGCATTTCAAATTATAAGGTAGAAGTGTTGTATTTTGTTAATTAAAAAGCACATAAAAAAAAAAGATGTTTCATTATGAAAGTGTTTACATAGAGAATCTTCCCAAACAGAATCCATTAAATGCGTGTGTGTGTGTGTGTGTCCCTCCTTTTTTGTCTTCTGGGTGGTCCCTTTATAACTTATGTGATAAAATTACATTGAGCTGCAAAAGAAAAGTAAGCTTGGCAAATACAAGGACATTAAAAAACTACCTATGGCCTTGCAAGCCCACAGTCCATCTGTCCCTATCTAATTTACTGGTTTGATAACTAAGCTTCAGGTGAATCATGAAGATAGTGATGCCATTGATCTGCCTGATGGCACACCGTCATAGAGAGGATTCACACGTCAAATATTTCCAAGACCAATCATGCACCCCTAACCTCCAATCAATTTCACCAATTGTCTTTTCTTACGAAATTTTGGCCAATTATCATACCCAGAAACTTGTTTATACAGGCTGGAACCCACCAATCACTTTTGATTTACAGAAATTAAATTGGAATCAAATTGATGAAGTTATCATCCCTTCTTTAATTAAGGGAATTAAACTACAAACCCAAACTACCTTGGCACACAAATATAATTACTAAGCATATAATTGAGTGTAACGCTCAGCTTACTAAGAAATTATAGTCTAAAGGATTGATACAATTATTACTCCATCCGTCAGTTTGATGTGAATAAGCAAACACATTAACCAATATATTTAGCAATACTGGCCTGATCTATAACAAATAAAAAAACAAAACAAAACTGGAGCATCACTAATACTTCAATTAATTATTCAATGATGAATACTTTTGATTCCTAATATTTTTGGTTTTAACTTTAATGATATGATTATTCAAAAATGTTGTTATTTAAACAAATTCTTGTTTGCAGCATCATCAGCTCTCCATGTTCCACAATAGTTTCTACCAAAATAAATGGAGTAATAACCATAACATCTTAATACGTCTATTTTTGTTTAACAAGGTTTACATGCGTTTCAAATTTTGACAGCAATCACATTTGATTTCCATTGTTTCCATTAAACATAAACCATAGTACTTACCTTCATCAGATGGGTCTACTTACATAAGCAAAGTGAGCACAATGTTATCTGCCGGAGCAGAAAGCATTATAAAAGGTTACATCTACAACATATATAAATCAAATAACAGCTCAGTCATGATATATGCTGGGGAGAGAAAAATATACTTCTCAAATGTCTCACGAGCCATGGCAACAATCTTCTTTACATCTGCTTCTAAAATGGAGGATAAGCCTGTACTGCCACCATTTTCTGTATGCAGAGATACAAGTTTCTTCCCTCTACCTACTAACAGAATTTGCGTGTAACCATAAATCTGCCTGAGGATGTAATCTAACTTTTTGTGGAGAGAAACTGGGAGCCAGTGAAGCCATTCATTGACCCCTCCTCTTGGCCTTGTAACCCGCTGCATGTGAATACAGACTACGTGAAACAAGCATACATAAATCAACATACAACAAAATCTACGAATACAGCTCTCAAAAGGAAGTTTCCACATATCATGTAGGAACACATTGTCTTGTAAACACAGAAATGTGTTATACATCATCGCCAAGCATACAGATTATTACAGTGTGTTCATAACATTTAAGTAGTATTTTCTCTTTCAACATCAATTCCCACCACAAAAGAAGAAGAAAAAGAAATCATTCCAGAAATTGCGAACATGTCTTAACACACACATACACAGATGTGCACAAAGAGAGAGAGAGAGAGAGAGAGAGTAGAGAATGTTTGGTTGTTATTCTTTCTTTTGTATCCGGGGCAAAGGATTCGAGTACATATACATAGACTGCAACCAGAAGACAAACGAGAATGTTTCATTGCCTTCACACTTAAAATCCTTAAATGCATTTTAGTCGAATAATTGTCAATTTTTTTCCTGATTAAAGTGCATATCCAACTCCAGAAATAGTAGTTGTGAATATATACAACAAATTGCACAGTCCATACAAGCTTCAACTGATGAACCCATCCACTATTATAGTTCAATAACGATAGTGCAACGTGAAGCTACCAGAATAGAAGATAAACAAGACATTATATTTTACAAAAGGTTCCTTGGTGCATATTGGCTAAGACGAGGTGAGAAAATAAATGTGCACATATTGTGGCTGCTTTTAAATTCAATAGTCACAAAGAAGCCTAGATGCAATGCACCTTTGACATTCAAAAATTACTTATTAAAAAAATCATATTTTTATGTTGATCTATTTACCTATCAAAAAATGTATTATAATGTTAAACTATTCATATGAAAGATGGGGGAAGGGTGCATCTCCGTTATAGGAGTTGGAGTTAGAGATCGAGTGGGAGGAAATAGGAGAATAGGATAGATGATATTGTTATTAGGATCCTTATGCAACTAAAATTCTTCTTTGGAAGGATTTCAAATAACCCCTCTCCTCCCCCATTGTTATTTCCATACAAGGCTCTCAATGCTTTTCATGTATCTGGCTGAAATCTAAATCTAACCAATTAATTCCAAATCTAAGTTATACTCATGTATTGTTTTATTTGAAATCTGACAGAATATGCTAAAACAAATATGTTAAGAGGCTAAGAAGCATGGACAGGGAAAGCGACGCGACGTGACGCGACCCGACCCGGACACGCCGACACTCCAATTTTAAAAAAATACAGAACACGACACGTAGAGGACACGCATAAAATATATAATTTTATATATTTATTATATGTTATATATATGAATATATCATTCAAAGGTAATAAAAAATGCAATACGACACTATTTCCTATAAATTTATATGATTTTTGTTTTATTATTGCATCTTAAATTGTTTTGTTCAAATTTATAATTAGTTTCACTGCGTCTAATCAATAGGCACGTGTGTTTAAGCAATGAACACATGTGTTCTCCAACTATCCAAAGAGTGTCTGGGTCTTTAAAAAAATTAAAAAATAGGAAATGTTTTGAAGAGTGTCAGACATGTATCGGGGGAGTGTTCCAAGAGTGCCAGTGTCTGACATTGACATGACAAGAATACGTCACCTTCTCAGAAATGTCCGTACTTCTTAGGTTAGAGGTTAGATAGTGCGAGACAAATGTTCATGCTCAACAAAGACTATAGATCAAACAACGGAAATAAACAATAAATGTCATGCTAGCGGTGGCAAGGCACGACCAAAGAAGAAAATTCAAAATCACAATCCATGATAGATTTGAAAGGCACGACCAATAAATGTCATGGATCGATGTAGATTTGAAATGCATGGATTTGACATTAATTATTCAAGTAGAATAACTCAAATTTAAGTTTGATAGTTTACCTCTAAATTTCAAGATTGAATTAAACAACTCTATCATGATAGATTTGAAAGAAGTATATGAAAGTAGTTATTTGAAATCATGCTAAGGATTATTGTAGAGACCTAAAAATCCAAATTAATTTTTTTCTTTAGTTTAATGACTACACATGCCTATGTGCCATACTGTTGACTTAGTTTGAACATTGGGAGTTCAGCTTGGACAACTCAAATAATTTTTATTTAGACATTTAATAATGTCCAATTGATCATAGGAACCTTTGGGTGCAGCTTAATCGGTATTGACAAACAACGAGTTTTTGGCTGAGTCAATGTTGTCAAACTGTGTGACTAAATGAACCCAACTTTAATTTTTGGACTATGAATAAATGTTTTAATCATGTTTATAATGTTTGGGTTTTAAAATGGTGAATTTTAACTATCTCGGGACTTTATTTGGACTTTAAAGCCAAATGAAGCCTTAATACTTCATCTAAGTGAAATGGAGAACCCACCCGTTGACTTAAAACCTCTCTTCCTCTCTTTTTCTCGCTCATTTATGCTGTTCCAGCAGAGCGCTCTCTCTCTCTCTCTATATATATATATACATATTACATATACGCTCATATACGGGGCATTTCAAGTTTGAATCTCTTGACGTCGAAGAAGGGACTTTTGATCTACTCAACAAGGGCTATCTAGACATGCAAACGGCTTCAAGATTGGAGCACCTTGTGGTAGGAATCTTGACTAGCACCTCTTAATATGTGTTTATATGTGATTTTTAGTTTGATTTAATATAAAAAAAAAATTGATATGTTCTTGAGGAAAATCAAACCATGCTTTTGAGGTTTGGAAACTACTTGTTACCAAGGTTGTTGAAATCGGAATTCTAGGTAGGATTGGTGAGAGGGTCTCGTGGATCGAATCGTAAGATTGGATTGAGAATCGTACGATCCTATTTTCTATTAAAAAAAGATAAAAATACAAATTAGAATGATATGTACTAAAAATAAGGTGAAAAACCACAAAATTTACAATCCTACCTACAATCCTGCATGATCCTACCTGCAATCCTGTCATAACATCGATCCTACAACGATCTAAATCATTTTAGCAATGTCGGATTGTCGCATCATACAATCCTATGATCTGGATCGCGATTTTAATAACCATGCTTGTTACATGTTAAACTTTTGTACAAATCTAGTTTATATGAGGTGTATATTGATGCGCTTGGAGTAGAAATACTTGATGTATTTGAAGAACCCATGTGTAGAATAATTATCTACTAATTTAATTGCTTGACATTGAAAGAAATGGCATGAATTGATTTAAGTTTAAGTTGTGCATGCCGAGTGTTTGAGTAAATGCCTAGATAAGGTGTTTTGTTGATTTTGGGTCACATCCCGTGAATGCAAACTTGATAGCTAAGTGTATGGTGCATTGTAGGTGTTTGATGAAATGCTTTGGAGAATTTGTGTTGGTTGGAATTGAGTTATTGTGCACAATTTAGATGTTATGTCTAAGGTTATGTTTAGGGTATTTGTTGGAGTGCCTAGCATTTAGTAAGTGTCTAGAAATGGGACATTGGGTGTAAATTAGTTGTTGAGGTCATTGTTGTATAGAGTGTGTTGGCTATGCGCTGAAGAGAGGTAAATACTAGTGAGATGTTTAGGTGATAAGTTTGATCCTTTGATTTCGAGTGTGTAATATCTCTTGTTAGCTAAGTACCAACCAAAGGTAGAACTCTAGTGGAGTTCAATGGCATAAGGTGTTGAGTTGCTTAGACTCAGATACTTGACAATTAGGGTGTGTTTGGTAACGTTTACGTTTTCAGTTTATATTTACAAAAATTTTATAAACTGGTTTTTGTTTATTTTTTGTTTATTTTTAGAAAAACATAAACTACAAACGCGTTTGGTAATTAAAAAAATGTTTAAAAAATTTTAAAAATATAAAAAAAGTGAGAAATGACAAGTGGTGGCAAGTGGCGGTGGAAGATGGTGGTGGAAAGTGGTGACGGTGGGTGGTGGGTAGCTGGTTGTGGCGGGTGTTGGATCGAGAATCGTACGATCCTATTTTCTATTAAAAAAAGATAAAAATACAAATTAGAATGATATGTACTAAAAATAAGGTGAAAAACCACAAAATTTACAATCCTACCTACAATCCTGCATGATCCTACCTGCAATCCTGCCATAACATCGATCCTACAACGATCTAGATCATTTTAGCAATGTCGGATTGTCGCATCATACAATCCTATGATCTGGATCGCGATTTTAATAACCATGCTTGTTACATGTTAAACTTTTGTACAAATCTAGTTTATATGAGGTGTATATTGATGCGCTTGGAGTAGAAATACTTGATGTATTTGAAGAACCCATGTGTAGAATAATTATCTACTAATTTAATTGCTTGACATTGAAAGAAATGGCATGAATTGATTTAAGTTTAAGTCGTGCATGCCGAGTGTTTGAGTAAATGCCTAGATAAGGTGTTTTGTTGATTTTGGGTCACATCCCGTGAATGCAAACTTGATAGCTAAGTGTATGGTGCATTGTAGGTGTTTGATGAAATGCTTTGGAGAATTTGTGTTGGTTGGAATTGAGTTATTGTGCACAATTTAGATGTTATGTCTAAGGTTATGTTTAGGGTATTTGTTGGAGTGCCTAGCATTTAGTAAGTGTCTAGAAATGGGACATTGGGTGTAAATTAGTTGTTGAGGTCATTGTTGTATAGAGTGTGTTGGCTATGCGCTGAAGAGAGGTAAATCCTAGTGAGATGTTTAGGTGATAAGTTTGATCCTTTGATTTTGAGTGTGTAATATCTCTTGTTAGCTAAGTACCAACCAAAGGTAGAACTCTAGTGGAGTTCAATGGGATAAGGTGTTGAGTTGCTTAGACTCGGATACTTGACAATTAGCATTTTGGGTACTTGTTGAGTTGAATGTGCCTTGGAATGGACATTTGGAGTTAAAAGATTCCAGAGTGTTTGGTTGTGAGCTAGGCGGGTGGTTTAGCCTTGTATGATAATGTTGGTTATTGCGCAAAAATGGTTAGTCCTTGTGGGATTATAGTGGCTTGTACATTGGAGTCGGCTTTGTACCTAGAATAATGGTGACGCATATGTGTTCCCTCTTTTGAGGCTAGGTGAGTTTGTGTAAATCAATATATGTTTGTTTGGTTACGTCATGCGCCATGTTTCTCTATGTGGGCTATGGTCAGGAGCGTGATGGTTGGTGTTATGTACACTAGAGAGGAAAAACTATAACTCTTGATTGGGTAGTTTTCCTTATGCTTGAGGTTGCAGATGTGATTATGTTTAGTTGTGGAAATTTGGAAGAGGGTGGGATGTGTGAAATATTGTTTGTAGTTGACCTAGGATGACTGGTTTTGTGAGCTTCAGATAGTGGGGTATGTACTTTAAGAGATTGAGTTCCTAAGATTGAGTTTTGGGTAATAGAACCCCTAGGAGTTATTGAGGTTAATAATGGATCAGTGCTTGGTATTAGTTATAGTATCTTTTGTTAGTTGAACTAGGCGGTGTAGTTTATTGGATTGATGTTAGTTTGCTTGAAACTATTCTTGAATAAATTACCAAATTGAGTAGACGCATGCTTGCTAATATATATATAATAGTTCCTCCCCATCCTATTAATCTCATACATCCCCATATTATTGTTGTTAGTCTATTCCTAGCCGAGCTTCGGCTTATGTAGTTGTTAACAAATATCAAGTTAAGGTGCAGAGCAATGAGTAGTAGTTTAGTTTCTAGGTAAACTACCAATAGGTTCTAATAGTTTGACTTAATTCCCATCAAGTCCTATTGAAAATAAGTCTTGATAAAATTGTCGCTAAAAATAAATTTTTTATGACAATTTTTTATATATGTCTCTAAAAATTGACAATTAGTGACTTTTTTGTCATAATTTTTATAAATTGTCACTAAAACTTACAATTAGTGACGTTTTTTCATGACAAATTTTTTTCATAAGACCCATTAGACAATAAGGCCTCGTTTGGGAACCCTCATTTTTAGCCAAAAAGTTACTAAATTAGCCAAAAAGCCAACAAGCCATACCAAAAAGTCAAAGATTCTTTTTTCTCTCTACTTTTTGCACATCTTTTCGTAAAAAGCCAAAAAGTTACTAAATTAGCCTGTTCCCAAATGAGACCTAAGTCCACTTATTAAGACCTACATGTAAGTACCCCAAGTTTCTAAGGATATATAGCTTTTTGTGACCCTTGTAGCTTTTGAACATTTCTATTAATGTAAGGCCATGAGGCCCCTTTCTTTTCAGCTATAAAGTTTGTAACTTAACTAATTTGTAAATTTTGATTGAAAGACTCTACTTCTACAAATTTTTAAATTTATAGTTTCTCAACTCAAAAAAATTATGAAATTTTTACATCATAAGACCCATTAGACGATAGTCCACTTATTAAGACCTACATGTAAGTACCCCAAGTTTCTAAGGATATATAGCTTTTTGTGACCCTTGCAGCTTTTGAACATTTCTATTAATGTAAGGCCATGAGGCCCCTTTCTTTTCAGCTATAAAGTTTGTAACTTAACTAATTTGTAAATTTTGATTGAAAGACTCTACTTCTACAAATTTTTAAATTTATAGTTTCTCAACTCAAAAAAATTATGAAATTTTTACATGTTCCTATATGAGTCTGGTATATTGGGTAAACTTTTGAGAGTGAACGGATGATGAGTTGATTTTATAAAATTCATAGACTGGTTGGTGCTCTATTAACTATTATAGCAGAATGTGTAGGTTTCAGAGTTTCAATTTTGTGTTGGACATTGGATATCAAACCCATGACATGAGGTCAATTTTGTTGGGAACTTGGCACTACTTGGTTAGTAGTTGGATCATGTTTAATCCATGAATAAGAATTTAAGTGAAATCTTGTAGTCAGACTCTCATAATAAAATGAAGAATATTAAAGATGATGAATGAGTTTTGACTTAATAAATTACACAGGTCAATTTATATTCTGCATAATTAACCTCTAAAGAACCGGGACGTGACAATTATCTTCTAGCTACAAGAACCCTACCACATACATCTCTTTTATCTCAACCTATCTTATTATATAGTTTTTCTCTCCACCTATAATAGCTAACTCTCCAATATTTTTTACAACAAATCCCTTATTTGAAATCCACATCCATCCAAACAAACCCTAAAGTTGCAAGTACAATTAGTGTTTTGAGACCACCAAATGAAGGCAGATAAATATTTCATTTGATCTAATAACTGTAACTTAAGCCCTAAACATTTACCAGTCTAGAAAGAGCACTATTGTGTCCACTCAGTCATACATAAATCAAATAACTCACACTATATACAAATTCGAACAACAACAAATTAAAAATTACTGAATTATTGAATTTTTAAAAATACCCAAGTCACCAAAGACTTGCTAATTCCGTTTGGTTACTGAGAAAATGCACGAAAACACAACATAACTTTTTGTATTGGACTCACATATAAAGTTTGCTTCTCGGAAAGACCGAGGGCGCGAACCAGTCCGATGCTTTGGTTCTCGGAGGCCGGAAAACCATTTCCGATGACGAGGGCTCGCCGGATAACGCCGTAAACGCCGCCTTCGAAGATGTCCGGCACGCCCATGGGGGTGCTGCTGGGAGGTTCGGGAAGCTTGATTGGCTTCATCTACTACTTCACTGTCAAAGCAAAACCCTTGAACCAAAAAACACAAGTTCCGAATCGAATCGAATACAATTCGACAGTTCGAAAGGTTTCTGTGAAAGAATGAGCACTGTTGTGTGGTAGCGTGAGAGAGAGAGACTCGATTGCTGTACAAGTTCTGATTTAGCGACAGACGGTTTGATTTTTTAAAAATATTTTTAGAATTTATTTTTTTAAAACTAATATTAAAAGACTATTTTTAAATTATTTTTGTTCTCTCAAGGTCAAGGGTAAATGAAGATTTATTAGGATTTTTTTTTTTTACATATTTATATTCCAATTAATTTATATAATATTTTTGTATTTTAATAAGTCTTATTATTTAAATATTTGATCTATTAAATATTTCTATAAATCTTATTATTTAGACATTTTATTAAATCTTAATTCTTATATTTAAAATAATATACAAATAATTTACACTTAAAAATATTTTTTGAACGCTTAATAATTTGATGATGTGAACATTTATATTAACAGTGTAAATATTCACATCACAAAATATTCACACGATTAATGTAAATATTATTATTAGGAACATTTTGGTAATTATATCGCCTATACAACTTATTGAGATATAAAAAAAAAATTAAACTTATGAAAAATAAAATAAAACTACAAAATAACAAATTTAAACTTGTATATATATAGGATTGTTTTAAAAAATTAGTTAAAAATTGATTTTTTTTAAAAAAAAAAAACGTGTAAAAAAACAAAAATGTGATATGCCCAAAAAAGAGAAAAACTAAAAAATTGATTTTAACCCGCTTGACAAAGGGGATTGTCGCGACTCAACCCACCCCTATAGGTTTAGCATCGTAACCGGTCAGTAATCATTAGATTACCAAGGCCTCTTAACAGAATAACATAATTAGGAGTTGTGGAAGCAAATATACAAAATATACATAGTCTATCGAGCTGTGCAGACATACATGAGACAGAAATTTTCGAAACAAACTTATATTTATATATAGATGTGACGTCAAAAATTATCACGGCCCAAACTCACCCCTATAGGTTTAGCATCGTAACCAGCCAGTAATCATTGGATTATCGAAGGCCTCTGAACAGATTAACAAGATTAAGGGGCTAGCGGAAGCAAATACATAAATATAATTGTCTAATGAGCTATGCTGACTTATATGAAATAAAATATTTAAAAACTTTATATACCAGTATGCAATAGTCATTCATACATTATACCCACACACATTATAGTATCTTAAGTCCAGCCAATAGAATTAAAACAAGTCATACATACACATAAAACCAACAGAACTTGAACACAGGACACTTCGGGAACCTCCACGTGAAGCACAATGGTTGGCTGACAACAGAACACAAATCCAGACAAAAGACTTCAGGCTCAAGCTCTAGAATGCTCACCTATACATATATATACACACAGTGAGCTAAAACCCAATGAATAACATTAAGGTAAAGGAGTTAGTGAACGAAATCCGAATATATCATAAGCAGAAAACAGGCTAGAGCACAATCATTCTCATATCAAAACATAATAATGGTACATCCCATAGAACATATCACAGAACGTTTTCCGACTAGAGTAATCGGTTCCGGATACCGATTAAACACATATCGCCACAATGAAGTGGCTAACGAGATCTCGTAATTACTTGTATGTCATGGACCCGCATTTTCATGCCGTCCCCCATGACTTGGGACTATCTATAGATGCCATAATAGATTTCAAACTTGGAATATTCGTTCACGAAAACAGATATCATTTCAGAAATCAGAACTTATCATATTTCATTTGGAACGTAATTCATATGAACGTATCTTTACAATAACGTTACTCACAGTGGTTCAAGTAAGCGGTCAATCAATCCTCGAGTCTTGACCTACAATCACAAAATACATAACACAAGCACCTCTTATCATTACATATTCAAGTGGCCATTAAGGCTTAGCTTACATTACGTTGGTTCTTATTCTTTCTTATCACATTGCCTAAAACATGCACACACTTGCAGTCTCGGAACTTAGTACATTCTTTTCTTAGTGTGTTTCTAATCCATAACCTCATTACTAAGGCTTAATTAAGGCTTAGGAATGCCTAAGATGCAATGAAGATGCCAAAACATGCCTTGGAACACTTAGGCAAAATTCTGAAAATAAGGTCCACGCTCGAGCGTAGCTTTCCTCGCTTGAGCGGACATGCAAAATGTGAATGGTCGCTCGAGCGCACATTCCTTCGCTCGAGCGATCTGTAAACGACATGAAACTTCTAGGAGCTTGCAATTCGCGCTCGAGCGGACTTTTGGTCGCTCGAGCGAAGTGCACGCACTCAGAGTGGTCACTCAAGCGTGAACTCCCACGCTCGAGCGTAGATGCAAATTCTAGAATTTTCAGATTACACCTTCAAGCTCAAAACTCGAATTCCAACCTTCAAAACACATCTCTTGGGCTCCAAAACTTGAGATAACATAGTAAACTTGTAAAACATGATGAATTAAGAATTATTTCATAAAATCATGGCCCAAGAGTTTGTTAAAAACTCACAATTTCAACTTAAAACATAATGAATGTTCATGAACACAACATGCATGAATTTTTCTTGTATCAAACTTCTCAAAACATGATCAAACACCACAAAACAACTTGAAACTTGATGATTTCCCCAAATGAAGATGAATTTCAAACATGCAAGAGAAGATTCATGGAAATCATGCTCAATTGTAAGAAAATGTACATGCATGCATGAATTGCAACTCAAATCTTTATTCTAAGCTCAATACACACCCTTAAACACATAATCTTAAAGAAATCTCATGTTCAATGACTTAGTTACACAATTTAGAGGTCGTAATCTTACCTAGAGTCTTGAATTATTCTTGTTCTAGCACAATCTTGGTGAATTCAACACAAAACCTTCAATCTCTTCCTTCCTCTCTCTAGAATTGTGCTCCCTCTCTCTCTCTAAAATGAATTCTCATATTTTTCCACTCAAGGGAGATGAAAGAAATGAGCTCAAATAAGCTTATTAGGCTCATATAAGCTTATGGTGCTAAAACGCATTAATTAGAATATTAGGCTAACCAAACATGACTTAACGAATCAGACTGAATCAATTTTTAATAAAACTTGCCATATGGTTCTAAAAATTCCAAATAACACATTGACGTAATCAATTTCAGTTTCGGATGCCGATAAGGCTTTCAATTTACATATTAAAGTGGAATTCTAAACAGATATTTCTATAAGTAACAAATAGAAGGCCAAATATCATACAATTTACATATCAATCCCATAATTCATTTGATCCACTCAATTAGCATCTTTAATCATTGATTAGTAGCTAATTACGGGTCGGGGTTATTACAGTCTCCCCACCTTAAAAAGTTTGGTCCTCCAAACTCAAGTTATCTTATATCAAAAGAAATGATATTAATTGAAAATATAGCTGCAATTCTTTACAAGACAGAAGCATAACCATATTCATAAATATGCTCATAACCCAATCTCGACCTTAGCTTCGTACCGAAACAGAATCACAAATCATATACAGAGATTAGGGTTCGTATCAAAATAAAGTCTTATACGCATTCAGATTTTTAATCAGAAACAGATTCATATACATGTTCATATTCACATTCTTGTCCAGATCATACATAGACAGAAATCATAAGTCATGATTAAGTTTACGTGATACATCCATTAGTATTAACAGAACAGAACAGAACGTATACACGTGAGGTTAGGAATAACCAGTTCCATCACGGAATCTCCCGATCCGGGCAACAGAACAGAAGCTGAGCCCCCATGATGAGGCCTCCAGTACAGGTAACAGAGTGCAGACAGAATTAAGTTTCATAAAGGAACCTCCGATACCGAGTAACAGCTAACAGATATCACATAATACCAAGAGTCACACAAATGCATATTAGAGATTGGACAATTATTCATTGCACAACACATAATATTTCAGAAAACGAAACTTATTTTGTCACACAGAAAATAAATACAGTTGGACATAACTTACTACGTTATTACTCTCATTATTTATATCAAGTACTTATGGGACGTCATAGATTCACACTGTTTCCCATTATTAAGTCCCAGAGACTTGATTTACTCACCCCCGAGTCATCCATCCGGTCCTTGTTCGATTTGGTTTTCAATCCGATAATCTTATTACAGTTAATCCAGGTCATTCTAAAGTTATCATTCATATAATATTCATTAGCCTCAGTTTTCACGGATTCGATCATACTATGTGTCAATACAGAAGCAGTCATACTGATTACGTATCCTCCCAGGTAGTCAGAGTTTATAATCGAACCAGTCTACTGTCAATAAGTTCCATCAGTTTTGAAGTACAGTAACATAAAAGCGATCATCCTCTTAGTCAAACAAGTTCATGGTAGTACTACTGGAGTAATTAACCACGTGTCATGTATACGGTATTCCCATATTCTCCAAACATAAGTTACTAAATTCCATAATCTCATTCGCGTGTTTTCCCAATCGGTTACAAGCATATGGTAAGAAGTCATCTATAACCACGTAGTCTGCTGTAGACGGTTCACATTCTTCGTAAGTGTTCAAAATTGATTCAAATTCTTATTTGGTTAGTTCCCTTAGCAACACAGCCCTGTCATTCAATCATAAGCAATTCACAAGCCCCCATAACGTAAACAAATCAGATAATAGTTCTCAGTAAAGGTCTCTTCAGATCAAATCAATGAAAGTTCTACCGGGTCATATCAGATGAAAGTTTTACCCAGTCATATCAAATAAAAGTTCAAAGCGTGAGTCATCAAACAGAAGTTCTCTCAGGTAAACAAATGTCTCATTAAACCATAGCTCTATCAAATTAAATCAGGTAAAAGTTCTATCCTCATCATTTTCAAACGAAACACATTTGGTTCTATAGTTCATACTCCATTGGCTTAGGTTCATAGTCAGTAATTCCATAATTAGTCTAAGTTCATTAATTCTCAAAGTCACATCAGAGTCATGTATTATAATAGTTCTAATCAAAGTAATTTAGGTCATATACAATGTGGCATTCTCCAAATAAGTTTACATGTGGGTGCACAGGCATACAATTGTTCATATCGAGAGGTAAGCATTACAGTCAATATAGCAATTTCTCAAATAAGTCTTTCACGTAG